GTAAGGGTACTATCATTGCACTTCTAGTCATTAATTGTATAATGCGATTACATGAAAGTTTCTTACCATCTCCTTCCATACGGGTCCCGTCAATGGCAACTAGCTATATGATGGAGCTAGTGTACTTCTTAATGGACACGGTCATCATGTCCGGCAAGTTAACCTCAGCTATTCGGTTGAGTTCTTGAATTAACTGTAAAAAATGAATGTTATTAGTACATAAGGGACTTCTGATAATAGAAACGGATTGAATAATATCTCTATTCCATGCAATAAATAAAACTGAAAAACTCAAGAGCCATTTGAATTGCATCCAGTCCAAGGCCTAAATGAAAGAGTTATGCTGCTTTAAATATGCAACAAAAATAATCTTTATATTTTCATTCTTGAATTAAATTTAAATTTATTAAAGTTAAAGAAGCTCCTGGATTATGATTTCATGTTAACATCCATACAAGTATATGAAATATTCATGTTAATGCACTTGCAGGTTTACCTCATTGCATTAAATCAAGTAGGTGAACATTCTTATCTCATTTTTATAAGCCAGACATGTTATCTCAGTTTCTCAGGAACACATCAAAAGCCAGCTCATGAATAAACCACATTCTACATTAATTGACAAGTCTTGCAGGGAACAGTCTAGATTGCAAAACGCAGAGTAATAAGCCAATAGCAACTATAGCAAGGAGATATGTAACATAAATAAATCCAATGTTGAATCATCATAGATGTCCCCCAAATGTCATAATTGCATCTTTCACATAACAGCCTCTCGCAACAATAGATGACAATGGAAGAATTTTCAAAATTTTCAGGAAATTTGAATCAAATATACATATATATATGAAACTGGTATTCATTTACTCACATATTTCCATAAAATTCTTCTCTGTCTTCCAATTTGATGATTCCTTCCTCAGGGACTTCTTCCATCATGAATCCATCAATCATCATCAAGAATCTTCTTCACTGATAGAATTCAAGTCTTTATTTGATATATCTTCATGGTCATTTATATCTGCAGAGCTTGTCAGAACTCAGAAAGAGTTTACATGATTCATTGCCAATATATTGTTGTTTCTTCTTAAAGAAACTCTGGATGAGCTCTTACAATGTGCTTTCTAAAAGGATTGGCCTATGAATACTGGTTCAAACATCCATTTATTTGAAAATTTAGCAAAAAATCTTGTTTATCATGTTCATTAGAGAAATAATAAAGTAAGACTATAAGAGAGTGAAATTTGGAAAAATAACTGCAATAGGCACAGCAAAAATGGTTCATTGTCACACATAAAGGCCTCACACAAAAAAAGACAAATTTTACATTGCAAATCAATTAAATCACCTGAATTAACACTCAACACTTGATAAAGTCACCTACAGTAACCTACTTACCTACTACTGCAAACATAATTCAAAGTTCTAAACTCCTGAGTCCTATGCCCATTACAATAATTAAGGTAAATGATTCAATTTCACCTAAAATAAACAAAACCACTTCTTTAGTTTATCATTTCTGCCCTGAATTAAAAAAAAACATATGAACTATATTCCAAATTTCTAGAGAGCCAGACACACAATTCACACCAATACAGAACTCTAGCCTAGGCCCTAGGGTAAACTACTAGATTGCAGAATACTTTTCTGGTCTACTTATTGGTAGTACTCAAAAATGAACTTGAGAGAGAGTCAAAAACTCTCTGTTTTTGCCACTATGGCTGGAATGCCAGCTCACAGAAGTCACATCAAGATTCAATAACCAATCCAATGAATCCATCACTTGAAAAATTATTTACTCGTCAATCATTCTGTAATAGTAGGACTCTAGGTAATAGAATGTATGACTGTGCCTCTTATCAGTGCTGTCCATGCTCTGAATTAGACTAATGGCTTCACTGCAGGAAAAACTATGCGAATTCCAGTTGTGGGTCTACAAAATACAGTACGTCCATGGTCCATGGACACGTAAATGACAAATGAAGGATTTGGGGCTACTTTTACACACAACACAATAGTAAATGATGATAAAACTTGAAAAATTACGCATCACAACTTTAAGCAAACAACAGTTTCCTTCTGGTTTTTACAACACCTCTCTTTAACTTCACTTCTTGTTTGTTTGTCTGTCTGTCTGTCTGTCTGCTACAAATCTTGTAATCAAAATTTAACACACTTCTACTTATCCTATCAATCTGAAATTTTGCACACTTGCGTAAAGTTGGAGACAATGCATGAATCAAATGACAAAATAAATTATTTTAAGAATTAAAAACATTTTTTTTCAATGTTAAAAAAATTGAAAAAATAATTTTATCATCTACAAATCTTATAACTGTTATTTGACACTCTTTTACCTGTCCAATTGATCTGAAATTTTGCACACTTGTGTGAAGTTGGAGGCAATGCATGAATCAATTGACAGAATAAATAATTTTGAAGAAACTTTTCATATAATAACAAAAATCGAAAAATTAATTTTTTTAATATTCAAAAATAAAATGAGAAATTTATTGTACATCTGTAACATTGGAGACACTGGATTCTT